ATACACATATGCTTATATACTTGTACATATACATACCAGTATGTACATGATATATGTACTTACATGTACTACACTTACTTGAACATGCATGTTTTAATACGTATGTGTTTGTGCTTGTACATGATATGTGTATAGTGTTATACTATACGTTACTATTATTGGATTTTTTTGTTGTCTGGTAGTAAGTGAACATTATTTAATTATCAGTAACAATTGAAATTTATCAACACTATAGTGATAGTAATTATAATAGTAATAATGACAATAGTCATGATATCTGCATTCTGCTCTCACTGTTGTGTTGAAGATCTATGTAGCAGCACTGAACAAGTAATTAAATAATACCCACTATATTGTGTTTGTGTATGTAAATACTACAATTATAGTTTTATATTGTGTTAAACTTAGTTTGTATGTACGTGTAGTTGCAATGTCAGTTCAAATCAGCAGATACTGAGAGGGTGGAGTTACAGGATCGTTTGAGTGAGCTCTAATCATCAATGTCGAGTCTCTAAACTAGCAAGAGGAAAGCCAAGCAGCAGCTGTCTTTTCTACAGGAGGAGCATGAGAAACTGGAGACTGAGAGTCATAAGAATGCAAGAAACTTTGCAAGGTAATGGAACAAGTAAGTGTGTGTCTAGGAGAGTTTATGCTGTGTACAATTGTGATAATTTTTATAATGTGTTTAAAATGACGTCAATCAAGAGATTACTTTTGTTCCTTCAACACTTCCTTAGGTTTCCCATCTCCAAACTGAAAGCATGCCACAAAAGTGAACTGAATGTTGCACAGAAAGCTAAGGTACACTAATGAACTATTGTGTATACTACTGTATGTGCCTTCTTTATTGCAGTCTTCACTTGAGAGTCAGTTGGAGGAAATGACTACTAAACTTGAAGAGGAAATGTCTATGGCTGCTAAAGCAGCTGAGAGAGAGGCAGCCAAACTCCAGCAGAGGGTAAGAGAACGTTTATTATTATCATTATTATTATTGTTGTTGTTGTTGTTGTTGCTTCAGTCTCCAAGTCAGTAACCTGAAACCAAAAGCAGGAGTGACACCCAGAGGAATTTAAAGAGGTAACAAAATTAAATTTTGACTGTTTTTGACTTTATCTTACTTTATTCTCTTTATTCCAAGAATGATCGTTGCTATAAGGAAACCGTATCCCATCGTCTCCAAGATCAAGTCAATTCTCTCAATGCCAAGGTCAGGAACCTTCACCGTGACAAGGA